CCCTACACCGGGAATCCAAATTCTAGGATTACAAGATTACACTTATTATTCAAAGTGACGGGTAAATACAAAACAGTGCCGAAGTCATACAGTTAAATAGATTGACTAAACCTAGAATGCTCAGTAAGACTTTTAAAGAAAAGTCTAAAATCTTTGGAGTGAAAGCGAAGGGTTGAAACTGTCCTAAGCTTTCAAGACGATGCATACTGAGCAAATCACAGATATAAAAAAGCTAAAATGAGCTAAATCCCAAGCAGTTGTTTTTTCAGCTACATCGCTCTGGATAACTCCATTCTCCCTTCCGTGGCGATGAACTCCTTTTCCGTGGCTCGTTTATCACCTTGACACAGTCTTTCCTTCAATTTTTCAAGTTCATATTCATGTAGGATTTTCTGTGTTAAATACTTTTCACGTTTTATTTTGGCTTTCACGTCTGCAGGGACATCAGGAATCATCCATGCTACAAAGAATTTGACGATGAATACAACATGCTGCCAAAAAAAAAAAGTAAAGGAAGCCAAGAGAAATGTAACAACTCATCACCAAATGAAACACCTATTGTTTTATCTAACACCAAATAGATCTCTTCCCTTTTTGTTCACAAACAAAATGCATTTCATTTGGCTGTCCTGGAACAATACTAATGTGTATCTGAGATGTGCACGAAGATTAAAACACTTCCTTTTATGCAGAAACTTTAATTCCAAATTCCCTTTTCCCTTCAGAACTTGCAAGACAGTGGCTTAAGTGCCAGTTATCCAAATGAGTGATTTAGCTATTTTCAGCCTTTCTTTTTCAGCCAATATACATCACTGCAAAATGCTTTCTGCATTTTGAATACAGTCATCTCGCATAGACCGCTTCAATGAAACCAGGAGGAGTAGAAGTGCTAGTCCTGGTGGTTCACGTCTCTCCCATCTGCATAAAGAACCTTTTTTTATCCTGCCATTTTATTCCGATCAAATCTAGCAGTCTCCTCAGCTGTTTTCACTGTACTTACTCTGAGGTTGACTTCCTGAAGTTGAAGACCTAGTTATAGTAACCATTTAGGACATGAGTATTTGGCAGGACTTAGGAAATAACTATTTTATACTCTCAACAATTCTACTTTCTGTAACATTAGTAACTACCTAGAGAATCTGTAAGGTACTGATTTCGGACGGCAATCTTGTAGGGAACATACCTCCATAATAATTATAAAGGCCAGTTTTGCAGCAAGAATGTGCCAGAACTGCATAGTGTGTACGTATCTCCGCTCATGATCTGGAGGATATCGATAGTCTCTGTACCTGTTGGATTGAAAGACATGCAAAGGTGAAATGTCACAGTCAGTCTGAGACAGACTACAAGCTCAGTGGCACTTACAGGCAACTACAGCTGTCACTTTAGGAACCTTTTCATCTTGTTTTTAAATGGTCTGTTTCCTTTTGCAGAAAAAGGTTGCCTCTCTATTTGTTTCTATCTTACGTTTGCTTAAACACCCTCCTATTCACAGCAACAGACCAGAGGTGAGGATGTGTGAGAAGTGAAATTTTGTACATAGGTTACTTTTTTTGAGGGCAACGGTCAGTAATACAGGACAGAGTGATGGAATGCATCGCAGAGTAACGGACAAGTATTGAAAAAACGCGACAGATGTTGACAGATTACGGACTGGGCAGATAGAGGGTTTAATGGAAAGACAGTCTTGAGTTCCACACTCACATGCGTAAGTAGGAAAAAGACTCCTGGGGCTTTAACACTAAAACACCATACAAATGTAGCTGCTGCTTAAAATGTTGGGCGCTTTACTGTTTGGCTTGTTTGGTTTGGGTTTGCTTGCATCAGGTCAATACTTTTCTTTTACTGTGGTCTTCTCCAAAGCTCTTTCTTAATTCTTCTAGAACCTCCAATGCTTCTTCTAGTGAGAAAGGACTTTTTTTTAAAATGAAAACAGGATGGCCCAGATCCTGAGTGATATCTAGCACAGTAACTATTGCCAACTTTGGATTCTAAACCGCCCCTTACTGATATTTCCTTGTCCACTTAGGCACTGCAGCCTAAAAACTTTTGAAAATACAGGCTAAAGTTGCAACCTTAGGGACATAAATCTCCTCCATCACTCAAAAATTGTTTAATTAAGTAGAAAAAGCAAAAAAAAACCAAAAAAAGTTATCAATGAGACGCTATTAAACAACAAAAAGGTGATTTTTTTTTTTTTCATTATTGGTGTGATCTCTGACTATCTCAAGCATTGCTTTGTTAATAGCTTAAATATTACCTCTCACACTTTGGAGCGATGAGAATGATTTAATTTCTAGTGGACTATTCAGATCTGCATTGACTTTTTATGCTGTATTCTAAACAAAGTGATAAAATATTTATCATTACACCAACCTGCATATGACAAAGTTTTCTGGGTTCAGTTTAGGCCTGTTTCTGTCAGGAAAATCTGAGATTTGAAACACTGACAAACTATTGTTTATGTATCCAGACATAGGAGAGTCTTCACTTTCAGAATAAGCATAGTAGTAAACTAAACGAGGAATCATATCCGATGTGAATGCAACAATAAAAGCCTGCAAAAGAAATTGGAGAAAAGAAATTAAGGAAGTAGCACACAAAACTTGTGAGCAGATTCAGAAAGGGGGTTTGGTGCTGGGCCTCTGTGGCATAACCCAGGATCTTTTAATCAAGGGTGAGCACAATCAGGGCACTTTGCCTTGGTAAAGATGCTGGCTGCAGCCTCTGCTGCAAGGATCAGCACTCAGTGAACAAAATATGTGAACGGTCCTTACAAGAGGCACCAAATCCCCAATATCCCCTCACACCAAAACATCTTCTATCCATGATAACAGCACTCCTTAGTGAAAGAGGAAACGTGGTTTTGAATTCTTGTGAGAAAGGATGAACTCCAATCCAGTGTGTGATCACTTCATGAAAGAAGGGGAGCCATTTTCTCCAGCTGGATTTAAAAGGAAACAATGGCTACCAGCACATTTTGCCAAGAAACCTGAGATACTCAAGATGCTCAGGTACCTGGCTAACTAGGCAATACCTGCAAGTGGGTTGTGCCTTAAGACACTTGCAGATCTGATACTGTTTATTTTTCTACACTAAAAAGAGACAACTCTCTGGCTCAGCAGCCTGTTTCACTGTATACTTAAGACGAAATACTAGCATAGCATTTAGTTTCCAGTTTATAAGAAGTACTCTGAGCTGTTGACCCCACAGGGGCATCCAGAAGCAGCTGAACGAGCAGAATTCCCATAGGATAGGCCTCATAATGACAAGACAGAAATGTCATCTGGCCGACAGAATTAATCCACCTCTCCTGTCCCCTGCGGTCCCCTCTGGGCAATCAGTGTGCTTCATTGGACTAAGCTTCAGACTGGTTTATGCCATTCCAAAACACTGGAAAAGGCAGACAAGTGAATGAAAGATTATGGTCCAATGAAATGGGGTTTGGGAGCTGCATGTTGTCAATGTATGGACAAGCCGAACCACCCAAATGGTTTGACCGTATCTCCGTGGGGTAGCACGTGATAAAGTGAATACTGTTGACAAAGGAGAAAAAGCATCAGCTGATTTTTAAATCTGCGAATTCTGAGTACGTGGAAGAACCAATGTTGATGTAGCACAGTTAACGTACTTACATTAGTGACAACAGACAAGATGGCCATTCCGTTCAGGATTTCTTGCCAAACTCCTATGCTATGTGCTTTCGCAGCCACAGGTCTCCTGTACTGAGTGGTTAACTTCCAGGAGTCTACTCGAATCTCCAGGATATTATTCATCAGAGCAAGGAGGGGAGCCAGGGGAAAGGATGCCACGAAGAGAGTAATGAATCCAAACTGAATGACTGCAAGGGAGAAAAGAGAAGTGCCAAGACCTGCCCCTACAGAAGTACCCTCAGGGTGACGATGAAACACGCAAGTTGCCACTCGCAGGCAAAGGGCAAACTTCTGCCAGGCTGCACGAGTCATCTCCAGCCCTGGCCCCAACTAAGTGACAAACTGCCCCAGCCCTGAGACTTCTCTAGTCTCTTAGGGACGGGACAGGCTGCCATTCAGCAGCACCCAAGGGAGCAGGGCATTTGGGTCCTGCCCAATGATGCTGGATACTAACTCTTTCTTGGTGCTGCAGTTCTCTCACGAATGGAACGTAGCTGTATGGGAACGGGAATGTACACACACACCACATTTCTGAATTATGAGAGAGGAATAAATTAAAATCAAAAGGCTAGTTTTCCTCTCCTGCAGTTTGTACAGGGCAAGCCCATTCTCCTAAATTAAGAAGAGGAAATACTTTTACTTTTATCACAACCTTACCTCCACCTATTGTTATTGGTTTAGTGAAAATATTAATAGCAATTCTGTATACAATAGTTCCACGGGGGAGTCTTAACATCAGTTTAAGAATTGCAAATAAAATACACAAATGATCCCTCTAGTCATTACAGAATGTGCCAGTCCCCAGTGCAGAGCCAACACTGCCACTGTATTTTAAAGACAGGAAACAGAACATCTTGTCTGGTTTAGGCAGTGGATAAAAATAAATTCCCATATGCCAGTCATCAGCTCTTCCATGATTTTAGTGATCAGTTCTTCATCTTACACAAGCAACGAAATTCCTACTAGCTTAGCAGCCCCAGGACAACGCTGGAGCACACTGGTTCAGTTCCGATTCAGGAAGAGCAAGGACATCTGTTAACAGGCATGGCTGACAGCACGGATGGTTCTTAGCGTTTGAATTTCACGGGACCACAGCCATGTATGAAATATGAAGTGACAATGATACAGTTGCAAAGCTCTAGGCAGTAATTATTTCTGTACAAATAAAAGAATACAAGGGACCACTTTTCAACAAATTTTGTCCTTCTAATAGACACATACTGATATTTTCTTTAGTGTCTTTTAGATTCAGTTTGGCTTCAAATTTCTAGTTTTAGTTTCTCAGCTTCTGTAATGTCATATGCTGTTCTGTTCATGTCACTGTTGAAAAATCCCATTCTGTTACCCGTGCTCCCTCTGCTGGTCTCCTGGACTGTATGGAAGCACTGCTCAGTGCAAACCTAAACCCAAATGGATTCTCTCAGATCCAGTTCCTATGTCTCATACCTGCAGTACCCCTCCTTACAGAGTATTTGGCACTCATCCCGTACATACAGTTTCCACTGACATCAGCTGAGAATACGCTTGGGAACACGAACAGAACAGACATCACGACAGCTGGCTGCACTGAGAATAACGTTCCCCATTCAAATGAGCGAAACAAACAGTCTTTGCAGTGTTTCTGTGAAATTCCCTGCAGTCTAAGATGCAAAGGCAGCTTATTTTTTTTTCTTTTTTTTTAATTGGGCTGACCTATTTAATGATTTCCAGCAGTTAATCGTCTACTGTTTACCAAATGAAAGTGGTGGCATCAACCCACAACAATTAAATGAGAAGCTATTTTTTTGGAACTGTCAGTACGAGGTGTCTTGTCCTCAATTCCAAATGTGTATTTTTAAACTTACCCATTTCTAGATATTCATAGAACAGGCCTAAGGCTCCAAATGTCTGCAGATCATGGTCTTGCTCCCAGCGACTGTATAAATTTTCTGGATTACTTCTGGCTTTCCGGCGTCCCCACCAGTTACAAATCCAGCTGTGTATGCAGAAAAAAGTTAACAAGGAGAGAAGCAGATCAGTATCCCTTTCTCTCTGCAAGCTCCTTGTTGTAATATACTTTTACAAGCATGGCTTTCACAGAAAGAGGCCAAAAGCCTCTACAGAATGAGCCTACTTGTCGGAATTTGTTCTTAATTTATAGAATTTTTCTTAGCTTCTTCATACGGGAATAGTGGTTATCACTCCTTCCTAGAATTTCCTCTGTCCGTAACATGGGCATCTCAGTGTAAGAGAGAACTTACGGTACAATGGCCTCTTGGATATTTCCCCAGATCTGTTTGCCAGCCATGACTATGGTGAGCTGTGTCGTCAGTTCTATCAAACAGCCTGCAGGATCACACTGGCAGAGACAAAGTGGGGGTTAATGGACAGTAATAATGGACATTACCCAGACAAACTGTGTTCTACTACTGCATAAATGAAAGAAGGAAGAGGATTTCTTAAAACTTGTTAGGACAATACTTAATTTTAACCTGGACTGCCAGCAAAGATACCCTCTCAGGAAGGCTGTTACAGACGGGCTTTCAATGCTCAGTGTGCTTGACAGAACACACACCAAAACATGACGACCGTTCAAAGACGGAGCGATTCAGAGATGCTTCAGGCTGAGCACTGTGCAGACACACAAAGACAGGGCAGCAGGATCCGCACGCAGCAGCCACCCCACAGCACCAGCAAGGGGAATCTACGGTGCTCGGTTGGCTCTCAACACCAGACCAACCCTGACCTAGCAAGCACCTGCACTTTCTAGCCATATCCCTACACTAGAGGTATTCAAATACCTGCCGGTATCTGGTCTCTGTTTGCTGAGAACACTAGTTTTAAGGTTTCAACTCTTTACTGAGGCCTTCTTAAGAGTCTAGCAGCCACACCAGTATTAGGATATACTCTATCAGTAAGTGCACTGAATTACTTCATCGTGTTTTGCACAGTTTTTCCTCCACTGCTGACTCCCAAGCAATGCTTCACATTTAATACTGTATTTCATCTCCGTACAAACAGCATAATTAGCAATGAAATGAGGGGAAAAAAGCAAAAGCTTACAGAGTGCCTCTTACCAAATGGTTTCTCTGAAAACGTTGTGCCTCAAAAAGCTTATGAAGACACCCAAAAGCCAGAGAGCATTTCCATTTATACTAGCTTTCTTCAACCTAGAGGATCACTTTTAAGACCTACGGCGAGATCCACAGGTATTTCTGGAGAACTGGGGCCAAGAGAAGTTTTTTGATTTTTCACCCTTGTGACCGAGAGCCACAGATTTTCACTGCTGGTGCTTCCCGGACTAGCAACAGTAGGAAGAGTCCCTGGAAGCCCTTCCATCAGCCTCAGGACGGCCAGCTGAGGTCCAACACATGCCAGACCAAACCTGCAGCTGGCAATTTATGACTGCACAGGTTGGAGGGGATGAAGAGTTTGAACTAGTTTATTATTATTCAATCCACCTTAATCAAGAAAGTCCTACCTCTTCATTTCGCCAGCGATTGAACATGTATGTGTAGGCACCTGGGTAACCAACAAACTTCCCTTTGAAGAAGGCCACGTAGAAGCAGGATGAATAGTAGTTGACAAACTGGAACAGAAACATTTTCATAGTCAGCCTGTTCTCATACTCCATATGAGTTCTGGGGATCTCTGTGAAACCAAAAACCAGAAATTTTATTTTCCTTCATTCCCTTTAAAAGGATACAGATTCATAAATACTCATCACCCACAGTGCCTTTACGTCCCAAGGGAAAAAAAAAAGAAAAAAATAAAGAGAAAGCCACCTGCAAACAGTTCAGCAGATGGAATTCCTGCTCTCAGCCACCCTGTCCTTAATTTACAGTGCAATGCTCCGAGTAGGCAGGCAAGTGAAATTCATTCCTGAAACACTTAGAAGCTTCAATTTCCCCTTCTTTGTACTGTCCACTAGCACTTGTCCATCCCAAAATCTTACACAGGTTTTAGTAGATCCAAAACGAATCTCAAACGTTAACTAGCAGGGTCTTCTAAGACAGTGAAAATTTCACTGTTGGCAATACACATGATAAAGATTTTTTTTTTTTGTTTGTGGTAGAGAAGTATGTTACGGTTGGGGTTTTTTTTCCAATATGCTGTATGTGTGTAACTTATACTAAAATCAGCACAGAGTAGATGGGCCCTGAGCCTCTGGAAGATGAGGCTTGCAGTGGGGGGAAAAATAGGGAAGGATACAGGTATCTTGGTGATACTGAACATCACCAAACCTTCACTTAAGATTTTGCTGCCTTCACAATCACATTCTCCGTCATGTTTACATTTTTAAAGGTAGCAGGAAACCCTGTGCACCTTATTGGCAAAATGTCCTGTTAAATGGTAACATATAACTAATTCAAGCTGGGTTAAAGGGGAAGAAAAGACACCACAAGCATTTACATCCCTCTGAATTGGTCAGAACCTGGCAGATGTGTTGAACTCCCCACCCCTATGGCAAAGGTATTTTATATATCTGAGTAAATTAACGTTTCCAAGGTTGGCATAAATGCATGACAGAAGGTATTTACTGGGAGCCTGCAGTGTACCACAGAAGAGGCAGTACTCAGGTGAGGGAGTCTGCCTAGGCTGCAGCTCATTAAACTATTTTTATTGGCAGTGAGCTGTTCAGATGTTTACATCAGACGCTCGATGTTCAGAGCACCAGAGGTAGGATATACCCGCACTTCTGAAAAATCTGGCCTTAACCTTTTTAAGGAATTCAGGAGTGAAAAGAGTTGGAACAGACAATCCTGACAGCCGGAGCCAAGGCATCATAGAGGATGTGTATCCAGGATACATCCTGGAGCCACCCGTCTCCCTAAGCCCGGGCTAAGTGCAGCTGGCACGGCTGCCAGAGGAGGGCAGCAGTCCCACAAAAGTAAACAGATTTATTTTCCCTCTGTCACCAATAACCACAGGTAGAGCTGACATTTAAGAAATTAATCCTCCACACTTGAAAGCAGCCAAATAACACTGCCGAGCTTTCATTCTTGTAATTCATGGTCTTGGAGAAAGAAAGATTTAAAAAAATTATTTGGGGGGGGGGGGGGGGTTTTTTTGGGGCTTTTTTTTTGTTTTGGTTTGGGTTTTTTGCTAGGGGAAATGTTACTTATAACCTGTTCTGTCTTTCTCTGGTCTAATTCAGTCAAGTGAGCTAAGCAATACAGATCTCTGACACAAGAGATGGTCCACAATAAATCAAAATAAACCCAATGCAACACCCCATTAAAATGTCTGCAAGAAACACCTTTCAATTCTCGATTCCACTTGTAAGACCTCAAAAAAAGATCACCCAGCTGTGTTTATGACAGCTGTACAAATTACAAATACCTAATTCTTTCATCTCTCTTCCCCAGCTGAATAATCTGCAATTATTTCTTTCTACAAAGCACCTGCAGGGACTTGTACATCTAAATCATTAATGGCAAACACAGAAGAATATGTAAGAAGGGCTCTAGGGAAGGGTATTTCCAGCAAGTAAGCAACAGTCAAACATAAAATCTGCTACAAACCCAATAGATCTTTCTGGGCCTGCCTGCTGGCTCCTCCCGCCCTGGAGTGAGCCTACTGCAGGTACGGCTACCAACAGCTACAGCCCCGCGGAAACAACAAGGGGCCGGTCAACCTGCCCAGTCTCTGCCTTCAATCTGTATTAACCCCAGATCTGTAAATCTGCTAAGGGCAACAGCACCAAGAGAAAACCCTGGAAAATATACTGTTCTATCCCATCCCCCAGCCTCCTACCTTTTCCCCCCAAAGTAAGAGACATGATTATTTAGTCTTTTTTCATGTAAAGATGGCTGTGAAAGCTGTGATCTATTTTTTTAAAAAAGATCTAATTTCTAATTAGGATTTATAATTGAAATACTGCTAAATCAAGACAGTTTGATCTTTTTTTGGTGACTCTAATGTAACACATGATGATTTTTAATTACGTTCAGAACTACAATTGTCTCTGTAGACTAGTTTTAATATAAGCAAACATTATACTAGGAGAAACCAGCTTATGATAACTATTCAAATGCAGGGAAAATGTTCGGTGCGGCCATGGATACAACTGAGCCACTGCTGCAAGCTACAGACTAATGCCCTAGTGCTCCCCTGCGCCCGAGGCGAGAACAACTACACAGAGCCCCTCTAGATGGGTTCTCCCTTTAGCGATTCCTTGCAAGTTTTGTCTTCAAGTACACTGCTTACCCATATCTGTAATCCAGATGGCTATCCTCTCATATAAGAAATTCAGTATCATGATGATGACAAAATTCAGGCATGAGGCTGTGACTGAAGTTGCCAGCTGAGGGGTCAGTAGTCCGCTGATGGGCTGTAAGCTTTGGGTGTTCTCCATCAGGCTGGCAAAGGCAGCATACACCGCAAGACGATACACGATCACAGCTATCATGCTAGCTATAATCAGAGAGACCTAAGGAAAGGACAGAGGTTTGAAATACACTAACAGCTCAGTATAGCTATACGTATGCAACTTTTGAAATGAGATATAAATGATCATGCTTTGTAGTTTTATAGCACTGAAATGCAAAGTACACAGGCAAAATACTCTATTAGAGACATTAAACCCAATAAAACGGCTTTGTTAGCACGAGAGAAGCAATCTAAGATCAATATTCAAGAAAAATAAACAGTGCAGAAGGATACAGACTCATAGAAATGGAGATGGAAGGAACAAGTTAGATTACATTGTCCACCCTGAAATTCACTCTGCAGATGTTTCTACAGAGGAATATGTAGATATTTCATTGTAGGGAATAATGCTTTTTTTTTTTTGCCTTTACTACAATTTTTTCAGTATGGTCTGTTCATAGCACGTAAGCCAGAGAAAAAGTTATCCCTATGCTAAAATGTCCAATCGAATTACTAATTAATGACAGATTTCTGAGGTCTTTTTTTTTTTTTTATTCTGAATTGAAGTGCATTTTTCATGACAGCAGGAAATCTGCAGGACAGTAATAAAAGCCGGTGTTAATATCATGATTAAAACCAGTTTGTGTTAATGTCATGATTAGTGACGATCAGCAACTCTGATATGTGTTAAAATGATGACTCAAAAAGATGCTCACCCAGAACAACACTGTAGTTCCCGAGATGCAGAACCGCACAGCCTGGCTAGTTACAGGCAAATAAGGCTCCATCTCCTGAAACAGTCAAGCAAGCACAGCACAGTTCACAAATCCGTAATCTTGTTCTAACACCAAGCAGCACACAGAGCTCTCATCAGCTGTGTGAAAGTGCCCACATCAGAGAAAACCATTCAGAACCCCCCTCTCTTAAAAGGGCAGATAGGACATGATTTTAATAATGTGCTGGGGGGGGGGGAGAAAGGGGAGGAAGATGAGGACAGAAGTGGCCATAACAATGCTTAAAGTAAAGACAGTACTTGGAAAGAACGGTTAAACCTTTGCAAAAATCAATCAGTAACTGAAGGAAAAAGACCACCTCCTTCATTAGATGACCAGGACAGAACGATTACTGTAGCGCTAGGTCAGCGGTCATACAGCTCGGAGTCCAAAACTGGACTGAATTTTAAGAAATCCTTCATGTTGAGGTTTCTTAAAATGATCATTTACTTGGATGGACCATGTTTTTCCACACAGCCAGAAGAGTGTTTTCCTCCACTCCTTCAATTTTTTATTTTTTATTTAATTGAAGAAATGGCTACATTCATTAGTTGCCAATCTCTGCTGCAGCATCAGGTAGCTAGGTCTTACCCAGGCGAGTATCCCCATATAGCATATGAACAATTTTCCACGCTCGTGTAAAGTTCTCTTTTTCGCAACAAATTCTAATTCCTAAAATATCAGATTGCACGTATTAAGAAAGGATCGTTTAAGAACCAATGCCAGTGGAAGAAGATTTAGTAAAAAATAATCTGAATGTGATGCATCTCTGGGGCAAGGCGTTGCAGTATGCTAACGCGCCTCTTGGACAAAAGGGCACCGATTACTACAGGCGAGCGCCGCATTAAGTATATCATCCACAAGTATATTGAACCAGGAAATGCTTGTTTTGACAACAGCAGGTATTAAGCCTGCAGAATGTTGTTGACGGGAGCTCAGTTTCTGTTGCACAAAAGCCGTGCCGAACGCACTGGCGTAACGCGATGTAATTGCGCGGAATACAACGGCCGCAGCCGAGCGGCACGCTTCGCCCTGACACAGCCGAGCAGCAGCAGTTGTTTTACAAGCATTGCTTCTCGGCGGCGCGATTCTTCAGTCAGTCGGCGCGCCCATACCAATGTGATTTTGTTTGAAGTGTTGATGTGCTGTTCGCTCAGGAGAGATATACTACCCGAATCTGCCTAAGCATACTTACTAAGCACAATTATCAATACCATAGTCTCGGGTCACAACGAGTTGTTTGATGATGATAACCGTTAAAGGCTCTATTAACAGAACTATTAAAGAAACAGCTGAGATAAGATACAGGCGCAATGTCAGGTGGCTTTACATGGGCTCATAACATTTTATACCTATTATGTATTAATAAATAATATATATATCCTATACTAAAACCAAATGTTTCGCACGTAATAGGCTATTCAACAAGTTTTCTACTTTAGAACAAAATGCTGGCAATAATGTGCAATGACAGAGCCTGAGTTTGAATGTAATGCTTCATTATTTATGCAAATTAAGATTCTACTGTAATCAGCAAAAACAGATTTTAGCTATGATCTAGCCAGATAGTTTAGTGACCAAATGAGGTGTTAATTAAAGCCTCAAAATGGGCAATTTCTGTTTCAGGACACCTAGAACTTTGAATCCTAGCCAAGAATAATGAGGAAACAATTTTCTGAGCAGAGCACAGCCAGCCTCGGGACACAAGCAACTCAGTGACCTGTATCCCTATTATCTTGGCAGCCTGCAGAATTAACTTAGGTGAAATCACTGTCCTTTCATGTGTTCCGTGTTGCACATGATCTAATGAAAGGAAATTACATGACAGCGTGGCTAACCCATATGGTTTTCTATAACTGGGTATTGATAAGGATCACCGCTAAACCCTGCCACACAAAAGCTTCTGAAAATCCACCAAGGGAGTAAATTGATGTGTCATAAAACAAAGGACTGCACAGTCATTGAGTTTTTATGGTAATTATTAACGCATACTTAGAAAGCACAGAACAGTGCAGTATCTCCGAGATTGGAAAAATCTATTGTGGTCCCAATTTTTGTTTCCAAAATAAAGTCCAAATAAACTGCCCTACCTAGGAGATCTGCATGAATGTAGAGAGAGAACAATCTTCTCCCTCAGGACAGTTACACAAATGCGCCTCACCCATGCCATCTTTGGCTGTCATCTGCTGCGGTTGATCACCTCGCCAGACTATGGGTTTTGGTCCACGCTGCACGTAACCACTGCCCACGAGTCAGCCCCTTACTTCCCTGCCCTCGCACGCTTACCCTCTGCTGCAACCCGTTCCTCCAGAGCACACAAGGGCCGTGAACCACCTGCGCGATTTCCCCCTGCTCTTCCCTTCAACTGCAGCAGAACCACAGTGGTTCAGCTGGGTTTGGTCGCTGCGCAGCCATAGAAGCAAGTGGAAGTTTTGAGCCTGAGCGTACACGGGGATGTGAGCTAGTGAATAACACACAACAGGCAGGCATTTGATTTCAATTAGCTGAACTAGCTAATCAGGAACTGATTTACCTGAAACTGTTTCCCTGAGCATGCAGAAATCAATACCGTGGCAGAGCTACACTCAAAAATCACAGTGCATGGGTATCAAAGATCTCTGCGTCACTCCAGCCTGCAAGTTACAGGTGTAAGCAGCAGTAATGCTGCATGTGTGTGAGGGGAAGGAGAGACAGAAAACAGTCTCTCATGAAAAATAAGATTAGCGTATACATTTCCTAATAATTAAGGAGAGAAACCCCCAAAGACAGGGCTACTCCTTCTGGAGCAATGATGCTTCCTGTGTTCTGGCTAAGCTTCTATTTCTTTTCTGAAGACTGTTATCTAAGTCTACTTACGACTAGTGAAAATAAGTCATTTATATACAATTCCAGGAAGAGGAAGGATGCTTTAAAAATACATTAAATTGAGGTTGTAGATGTTATATTGGAATGAACCATCTGATCCCTAAATTTGTCAAATAACTCCTATCCAAATTAAATTCAAATGCAGACAATTAGCATCAGTAGGTATTTACATAAAGAATTTAACGGAGTTAAATAGTGTGGTTAATTGTATCTCAATTAGATTTCAGACAAAGGACTTAAGCAACCTTCATCTTTCTAGCATTCCCCATAGTGGTTGTATATCAGAAACAAAACCACGGCTAGTCCCACTTTTGCATCTTTAGATCAAGATGACTGCTCCTTCATATGTTGTGCAGGGATAAGAAAGAGCGCTTTTAAAGGCACAAAGATTTCAGACTGCTACCTCGCAATGTGAAGGACACTGTAAAGATGGCGTTAGCCAAGTGAAAGCTATAAACTTTGCCTGTGTATTCCTGATTTAATATATCAGCTTCCCATGAAAATTAAAGTCAACAGGGGGTAACTAATGAAAGTTATGCAACCCCCGCCCCGTGTTCTCATTTATTCTGCGTCAGAAGCCTAGATAACAAAAGACACCTGCAGGAAGAGAGCCATGGCCCAAGAGATGGGGCATGCCTGCCACGTGCAAGAGGAGGCCGAAGTGCCGAGCGCCTCCGTTACTGCTGCCTTCAGCCTGTAAGGCGGGACAGCCACACAGGGCAGTGGCCCTGCGCCAGGGTAAACAGACCCTTGAAAGGCAGGGCTATTAACTCCAGAACTTACTGAAGCTAACACAGCTACGCTGCTTTCGGCAGTTAAGGGGCTCCTCTCTGATACCAGTCAATCAGAGCACAAACCTCAGCACTCACCAACCGGACGCCTTCAGGGAGAAAACAATGCGTTACCAAATTCTGCTTTGAATTCAATGCCGTCTACTGCGTTCAGCAAGGGCATGATTGGTGTCACGTTCTAAATATTTAAGCCAAACTCACTGCTACCATAAACACTGCTCTGTGGAGATGCAATAGCTGATGGCCTGCCCTGCTCCAACGTAAATGCCCCGTTGCTCATGTGTGTCACACAAATCTTTGCCTAGCCATGAGATACACACTTGTTGCTGAGGCATAACTTGCACTTCATCAAACTATCTTTCAGCACACAAACTGAATTTGCATGCACGTCAACCCAGCAGGCCCATTACCTGAGTTACAGGATTCTTCTTCTTTTGGGTACATTTTGCCTCGTACTCAGGCCTCAGCTGGAGTTGTTGCTGTTCCTCTTCAAAATCAACCAAGTCCCACTCATATTTCAGCCTAGCTTGTCGTCTCTTCCAAAACTCCAAGAAAAGTGTAACTGCAATTTGGAAATGTTACAGTTAAGGGAGAAGTGAACAAGTTCATGAACTTATTTCTGCACTGGCTTCTAATTCTGTGGTGTATTATTTATCCTCACAGTGTGACCCATCTATTTTTATCGACTACCTATTCAAGTTCACAGCTAAAACTGTAATATGGATTAAGTAATTAGCTAATTGAATTCCAGAAGGGGATGAAAAGGAAGATGCCAAGACAGGATATGGGCATTTCCGTGGTTATGACAACCATGTTCTATTGCAGTTTAACTACTTCTCATTCACAAATAGCAACACGGAATTAACAAAGAAATATGATAATTCAACTAATTGCTAGTGTATAAACCTGTAACACGTGAACAACTATTACAAATAAGCAGAACTGTTTTCAAGTAGTGTGTTCAAAGACTTCTGTTGCTTTTTGATGATTATTTGTTATCATGGTCATTCTAAAGACAGTGAATGTCTGATGCTTTTCATAGCATCAACAGTGAGGCTGGCTTAAGAAATTTTTAGGACACTGGAGGGAACTGATTTTGTATATAAAACAAACAACTATAAAAGTTATAATATCGTATAAGATTTTAAAAGCCCTCTATTAACTGCTTTAAAATGTAAACCTTAGGTAATCTGACTGTTCTTATTTGAAGTGGAGAGGCTTTACGGTTTACACAAACACAGGAAAGCTTATCTTCTGCAGTTCTGAAATCTTTTGCTGGTACTTCCTGAATGACTAATCCACGTCACTCAAAGGCTAGTGCTTAAAACCAAGAAAAGATTAGGGAAACAGCCACACATCATCTTATGTGATTTTTTTTTTTGAGAATTATCTACAAAAAGTTAGTGGCTAGGTACTTTGATAACGAACAAATAGATTTTCTATTTGCACACAAAGATCTGTGTGTGTTAATGAAATATCTATATTCAAATCGAGCTCTAATGATTAAATTTCATACAAACAGTATGACACAGAACACAAAGGCATTTAAGGAAATAAGAAACAATAACTACACTATCCTGCATCTATAAACCTTCACAGAGTTGAAGAAAAGAACATGTATTCAAGATAATACGATCTTAAAGTCTGAATAAGTATCGCGTGGTGTGAAACCATGCTATAGAGAGTCAGGAAATCCACCTCTCTCTGCATCATCAAAACATGCTACAATGTACGAACTTCACCCGAGTAGAAGCCAACTGGTTCTCATCCTAAAAGCATTGCTAATAAAGTGGTAGTGCTGGACCAGCATCCAGTGAAAGGACAGAAAAGCACTCTACTCCCTTCAGGGGATGCTGATGCTGTGCAGGGCTTAGCAGAGAGGACTCCTACAAGGACTGCGTAAGGTCAGACCACTCTGTCTTAGGTTACTAAGGAAAGAAACAGAGTACGTAATGCTTACGACAGCCTAGATAACTGCTGGATTTTGTTTGGTTTTGTTGAAGCCCAATCCCTCTCTAACTTTAAATTATTTTTACTCTTTCATCACTTCTGCATCTGAGGCAAGATATTAAAGCAAAGCCGTTATTCCTTTTCTTCCCACTTCCAGTGTCCCTCAGCAATTTGGCCAAGATGTCCTTATTACTTGACATAAAACTTACCAAATGTACTCACCCCATATGCCCATGAAAATGGCAAAAAAGAGAGTTGCCACGTTGTCAAACAAATGGGAATACTGCAACGGAATAGACAGGAACAGGTCAGTACCAAAACAGTTTTCAGTATGAACAAAACCGACAAGTGGCTGGAGAACCAGATACAGACCTCTGAGGACTGACAGGTGGTGTTTAGTCTCCAGTACTCACACTCTCGGTCACAAAGAGGGCACATGATGATCTCTCCTCCAATTGCAGGGTCACAGATTTCTTTGCTGAGGAGAAAATATTATACAGTATCTGTTTTCATAGCATCTTAGGAGCTGCTATATGAAATTTATTAAAAACAAATAAATTAAGAGCTTCATTTGCTCAAAGCTCAACATCTGCAGCTTCACAGAGAAGATGCTCAGTCTTGTCACGTTCACTGGCGTTAACCTGTAGTTGGTCAGGGCAAGCCAAGCAACGTAGCAGCTGCTACAAGGAGGAGAACCAGCAGTTCACCTGGTGTGGGCTTTCCGATTCTATCGGTAAGGAATCAGAAGTCTGTAAGGAGCCGTACTGCACGTGGACTGCTTTCAGGTGAGATGTAAACCATGCTATTCCTCAACAGGTTAGTAATGCATTCAAAACACCTTTTCTAAAAGCAGAAGCATTAATTCAGCTTTGTTATCTACAGTAAACTTTGCTACTTCAATTTAACCACTACAGAGGGTGACGTTTACAATCCTATGACAGTCCTTCAGTATCCAGAGAAATCTGAACATGTATAGCAGTATTCTCAGGTGAATTCTGAACCTAGCTAAAATTTAAGTCTCAAAATGACATAATTCAATGAAATGAATGAAAATTTTAACCTGTTATTTATCTTCTATGGTTAATCTGGAAGCCTTCTTATAAAAAACAGTGAGCAATGAAACGTCAACCCTCTTTTCCTCTCCCCACCCATCCTGCTTCCCCCGCTGCCCTGAATACAATAAATCTCGTGACCCTTGAAGAAACAAATGCAATGCTTATTTAAAAAGCAAACTCTGGCTCCTGAGATACTGGATCCCTCTTTGATGGGGGAACACTGTCCTGAACTCATGCTTTTGGTAGTTAGTACAAATGATGTCCTACACAAAAAGGTCAACAGACTGCTCTGCAAGACAGATTAAAATAGAAAAGCTTAAGGCAACAATAAGCACTTGAAACAAACAATTTTGAGAGGTGTCGGTGGTACTCTTAGAACTTCATGTATTGCAGGTCCTCCGATATAAAAAGCTGTTGCCAAATGGCAGTAAAATCCTGCTTTTCACCTACAAATTGAGTCTTACTAATTAATAGTCACAAGTTCTGCATTAGCTGTCCACCACCAATTCAGGCAATAAAGATAGCTGAAGAATAAATTTGTCTGCTCTGACAAGCTTTAAAAGCTTATTGCCTGTTTTTTCGCAAGGACGAATTTTCACATTATAAGCCCAGAAGATTGTCAGCGTTACACTCACCTGCTCATATTTTCATCCATTGTAAACAAGCCATAAAGAAAACAGATTAAGCCAACAACTGCTGCAAGGAATAACATCTCAGTGTAAAATCCTAGCCAGGCAAAATAGATTCCAATCTTCTCACCATAGTACTTCCTGAATACAAAAACATGCAATTAATAGGAATACAAAGCAAAGTTTAAAGCTGCAATAGAGCGAACTGGCCAGAGTCACAATGAAACACTTGGCAAAATTCTCATTTAGCAGAAGTGTAAATGCACTGATGTACACTGGGAAAAATGGGATTTGAAGCTAGCTGTGAGAAGTTACACAAGCCGAATGAATAAAATATACGGCCTCTTTCTGACCCCTTTTTTTCCATCTATA